GGGCCACGAAGCGCGTGAGGGGTGTGCCGAAATGAGTGGCGTGGACGCATGCGAACTGTGCCGCTGGGACCTTCGGCGGGGCTCCTATGGGGCCACGAAACGTGTGAGGGGTGTGCCGACATGAGCGGCGGGGACGCATGCGAAACTGTGCCACTGGGACCTTCGGCGGAGCTTATATGGGGCCATGAGTGGCGGGGACGCATGCGAACTGTGCCAATGCGACCTTCGGCGGAGCTCCTATGAGGCCGCGAAACGTGCGAGGGGTGTGCCGACATGAATGGCGAGGACGCATGCGAACTGTGCCACTGGGACCTTCGGCGGAGCTCCTATGGGGCCACGAAGCGTGTGAGGGGTGTGCCGAAATGAGTGGCGGGGACGCATGCGAACTGTGCCACTGGGACCTTCGGCGGAGCTCCCACCCATGGGGCCACGAAACGTGTGAGGGGTGTGCCGAAATGAGTGGCGGGGACGCATGCGAACTGTGCCACTGAGACCTTCGGCGGAGCTCCTATGGGGCCACGAAGCGTGTGAGGGGTGTGCCGAAATGAATGGCGGGGACGCATGCGAACTGTGCCACTGGGACCTTCGGCGGAGCTCCCATGGGGCCACGAAGCGTGTGAGGGGTGTGCCGAAATGAACGGCGGGGACGCATGCGAACTGCCACTGGGACCTTCGGCGGAGCTCCTATGGGGCCACGGAACGTGTGTGGGGTGTGCCGAAATGAATGGCGGGGACGCATGCGAACTGTGCCACTGGGACCTTCGGCGGAGCTCCTATGGGGCCACGAAACGTGTGAGGGGTGTGCCGAAATCAGTGGCGGGGACGCATGCGAACTGTGCCACTGAGACCTTCGGCGGAGCTCCTATGGGGCCACGAAACGTGTGAGGAGTGTGCCGAAATGAATAGCGGGGACGCGTGCGAACTGTGCCACTGGAACCTTCGGCTGAGCTCCTATGGGGCCACGAAACGTGTGAGGGGTGTGCCGACATGAATGGCGGGGACGCATGCGAACTGTGCCACTGAGACCTTCGGCGGAGCTCCTATGGGGCCACGAAACGTGTGAGGGGTGTGCCGAAATCAGTGGCGGGGACGCATGCGAACTGTGCCACCGGGACCTTCGGCGGAGCTCCTATGGGGCCACGAAGCGTGAGGAGTGTGCCGAAATGAATAGCGGGGACGCGTGCGAACTGTGCCACTGGGACCTTCGGATGAACTCCTGTGGGGCCACGAAACGTGTGAGGGATGTGCCGAAATGAGTGGCGGGGACGCATGCGAACTGTGCCACCGGGACCTTCGGCGGAGCTCCTATGGGGCCACGTAACGTGTGAAGGGTGTGCCGAAATCAGTGGCGGGGACGCATGCGAACTGTACCATTGAGACCTTCGGCGGAGCTCCTATGGGGCCACGAAACGTGTGAGGGGTGTGCCGAAATCAGTGGCGGGGACGCATGCGAACGGTGCCACTGGGACCTTCGGCGGAGCTCCTATGGGGCCACGAAACGTGTGAGGGGTGTGCCGAAATGAATGGCGGGGACGCGTGCGGACTGTGCCACTGGGACCTTCGGCGGAGCTCCTATGGGGCCACGAAACGTGTGAGGGGTGTGCCGAAATGAGTGGCGGGGACGCACGCGAACGGTGCCGCTGGGACCTTCGGCGGAGCTCCTATGGGGACACGAAACGTGTGAGGGGTAATATGTGTGGCGCGCGTTTGCGGCGGGGCCTCGGCGCGAAAACGATGCGCGCGAACCGGAAAACAGCGGCGCCGCAGAATTATCACACATCTGGAGCAGAAGAAGCATTAGCAGAGTACACAATAGAAATGAGCATACGACGCTGCTGTACGCGCAAAGTCAGGAGAAAAGGTAGGACAATGAAAGGACAATGAGCAACCGTACGAACATGACGGATGTATCGTGGTAGTAATCACACATGAGTACAACTACAGCCACCACTGCGAGACCTGATATACTCGAACGCGCGCGCTACAAGCGTGCACGCGAGCAAGCTCGCGCCATGAAAAGCCGCGCGAAAAATGCATCCGCGCGAGAAACAGCACACGCCACATAGTCTTACATGTCACCCCCACGGGGGGTCCCCCCCAGCTTGTAAAAGTATACCCGAGCAAATATGTGTACAAGTGTTACTGTTGTATACGTATGCTTGTATGTACAGACGTACATGTATGCATCTATACACTCTCTGTCTCTCTCTCTCTCTCGCGCGCCCGCACACATACACCAACACAGACACATATATACATACAAACAAACATACATGCACGCATGTATACATTACTACCGACCTACCGACCAGCATACCTGTCTAGAAACATCCATGCATAAATGCATCCATGCACGCATACAAACAAACATGCAAGCAACCAAACACACAAACAAACAAAAAAACAACCAAACAAACATACACACATGTGTATGTAATCATACATGAATACACACATAGTCATACAGACATGCTTGAATGCATGCATGCATATATACATACACGCATATAAATGCATGCATACATATAGACATGCCCATACCCATACATACATACAAGCATGAGTGCATGCATGCATGCATACATGTATGCATGTATGTATGCATGCATACATTCAAACATGCATTCATACAGATATACACACACATGCATACAGACAGACAGACAGACAGACAGACAGACAGACAGACAGACAGACAGACAGACATGCATGCATACATACATGCACGCATGCATATATACATACATGCATACATGCATGTATGCCTACATTCATAGATACATGCATTCATGCGTGCGTACATACATACATACATATGCACGCACTCACGTACATACGGACCTACAGACATAGAACCATGAATGTATACATACACGCATACGTACATACATACGTGCATGCATGCATACATACATAGTTTCAAACACATTGTTATACATACTGGCATGCGTACATGCACGCATCTATATATATATATATATATACATGTATATGTATATACACATATATATATGTATATATATATACACAAGACTGCATTGGCGCTTCGCGCCATGCACCTTGGTCCTTAAAGTTCAGCATGCAGGCGGGATGGCAAGAAGGTCAAGCCGGCAAGTTAGCGATAACTCCTTGTTGCCTTTTCCGGAATCGTTGTTATCATAATGTTATGTGTTATCATTCCTCCATGCTTCTGTTTCTTCATATATATATATATGCATGCATGCACTCACAAATACAATATACACATGCATACATACACGTACACACATACACACATACACACATACGCACATACACACATACACACATACGTACATACAGACATACATAAATGCAAACACGTAATTGCATGCATGTATGCATGCATACATACATACACGCACATAACTATACATAGATCTACATAGATACATGCATGCATGCATGCACACAAACATACTAAAACCACGCGCGCGCTTCGCGCGCGCTTAGGCTCTAGCCAGCTCCAGCCCGTGACCAGTCCTTCAGTTGTGTGCAGACGCGTACGTACATATGGAACGTGCGGAGTCACCCACAAGCTGCTCGAACGTGTGGTGGAGAAGTAATAATTCAGAACGTGGACCGAGCATTTATGATACCAGACCAGGCGCGCTACGAAGATCCCAAGAGCGCCCCAGGGGGAGCCCAGGAGAATTCACAGGGCAGTCGAAGATGCTCCCAAGAGCGCCTCGAGAGGCCCAGTCCCTTGAGCCTCAGTCCTCAGTCCTGAAGAGTTCCTCAAAACCTGTTTCCGAAAATCTCAAATCTCTGGGGGCTGGTCGCTGTTTCTCTGGGGGTTCCGGCGTGCCCTCTGGGCTCCGAGGCGGCTTCCCGCATTACTTGACAGGGCCCAAGAGGACCCCAAGACGGACCAGGAGGTCCAAGAGGCCGCCAAGACGGTCCAAGAGGGCCCCGAGATGGCCAAAGACCGGGCGAAGACGCCCAAGATGGCCCGAAGACGGCCCAAGAAGCCTCCAAGGCGCCCCAAGAGGCCTCCATGAGGCCTGCCGAGAGAGCCCCGAGATGTGAACATCTGTGACATACATGAGAAAGATTTTTGCGTTCTCGCCTTTCGGCGGTCCGACACTTGAAGACATCCCAAGACGCCCCGAAGACCACCCCAAGACTATTGAAGAGGCACCCAAGAGGGCCCCAAAACGACCGAAAAGAGCCCCAAGACAGCTCAAAAGGCGACCAAAACAGCCCAAGGACGCCCCAAGACGGCCCCAAGAGGGGCCGAAAAGGGGGACTACGAACCGGAAATTCTAGCCTTCCGCCCCGCAGAAGCCCCAAAGAGGCCCCCAAGACGCCCCAGGAGGCCCCAAGAGGCCCCTGGGAGGCATCCTAACATACCCTGGTATGCATCCAGTCCTCTTCAAGTTCAGAACCCAGGCACGGTGTCGGAGTGGGCCGAAAGCTAATATAAAACTTTGAAAAAAATCTAGATATGTATGTATGCTTGTACGCATGTCTGAGACTGAACGCACGTGCGCGTGTAAGAAGAATCAAAAAGAAAAGAGTAGGCGGAGCCGGAGAAAAAGACCCTCCACCTCTTGGCATGAAGGAGAGGGGTCCTGGTGGAAAAGGGTTCTGGACCCCGACGCTTTCCCCACGACCGCTTTTCCCTTATTCGGGGAGACGTAAGACTCGTGTACGGGGGACTCGGGTTGGCCCGACGGGGCCATCATGAAAATGACTAGACCCCATCTGAAATTTAGCGCGAGCTCCCGCTGCAAACATCCCACGAAAATCGGACCGTCAAAATCCAGGACGCGCTGGTCAAAAAACGTCGGCAAAACCCGAGTTCCGGCTTGCTCGAGTCTTACGTTTCCCCGACTTGTGCATCGTCCCTTTATGGTACGACCCGGGAGGGGCCACAGGAGCCTGAAAGCGGCGAACAAAAAGACTCCCAGCAGCCCTCTCCTCCCAGGACCAATGGCCTTGATGCTTATCCTTCCTCCCCCCCCACCCCGCCCGCCGACCGTCTGCGCCGACGACTACGTCGAAAGGCCCGAGCACGTTGCCACCTCCGCGCCGCTGCACTCCCCCCCCCCCCGTTGCCTCCTGGCGCGGGGGCAGGTTTGGAGTCCCGAAACGGTGCGGTGACAGACCGTGCGGTGACCTCGGAATCCCCCAAGACCTCACCGCACGGTGCGTCAACGCACGGTTTGGGGACCTCGGATGCCCCAGTCGCCCGAGACGTCCTCGGAGAACGACCCGAGTCCCAAAACCGTGCGGTGACCCCGAATCCCCACCGACTCACCACACGGTGTGGTCACCACCCCGTTTGGGGGCCCCCGAGCCGGGGGCAGGGGCGGGGGCGTAACAGGGGACCAGCAAGGGGGCCCAACAAGACCAAGACCCAAGACTGGCTGCGGCCCACCGTGTCGGGACTGTCGCTGGTGGGTCGTCTCCTGGTTGATCGGGGTATTGCAAGGAATCGAGGGTCCACCAATGATTCTTCGGATAGCGTTTAGTAGTGGGTGGGTCGTTGGTAGCTGCCTAGGAGGGGAGACGGGGGGAGGAGTGTGGATCGAGGATTGAGGCTCGAGGCTCGAGACTCGAAGCTCGAGGATCGAGGGTCAAGATGTGTCACGCTTCTGGCTCTCATTGGGCCTCCAGAAGCCTCTGGGACTCCTTCGGATGAGAGGGAGGTATGGAGAACATGGAGGAGGCGGAGGAGGGGTGGAAGGACGAGGGGAGAGAGGGGGAAGGGGGACGGAAGGAGGAGGGGGAAGGGGAAAACGAGGAGAAGGGGGGGAAAGGGAGGGAAAGGGAGGGAAAGTGGAGGAGGAAGCGGAGGCGGAGGAGGAAACGGAGGGGGGGGCGCAGGGAGTGGCAGTGGGTAACTAGGAGGGGATCGGGGAGGGGACAGGGCTGGAAAAATATGACAGAGGTCTGTCGCATCCAGCGGGCACATGGGCCCACGCTGACGATGTTGCCGCGA